CCACGTGGATATGGTGTGCAATCAGACGTCCTGCAATTTCGACTAAATTATCCCAGTCGATTATTCGCGATGTTGAAATACACGAGCAGGACTGGACGACCTCGGGTCGTCGTAAGAAAACGGAAAGGACGTTCGTTGTCCAGAAGCTGGCCTGGCACACCGAGAACCTTGTCGATCGTGTCGTCCGAGGTAAAGAAGCTCATATATCATCCGAAAGTCTGGAAAAGTCCGTTCATTACGCGCGGATTCTATGGCGAAGGTTCATTTTTATAACCCGTTGATATTTACTTTGAAATTCGGAAACAAGAATGTTTGCTCGAAATATGTGTTGATTAACGACAAAATGCTTTCATTTTACATCACTTTTTGATGAAAGACTCCGAACTTAAATTAAGCTGTAAAAACATATTTCTTACACGATTCGTTGACTTTTATGTTTACCGTAAGAATTAATTTTCTCATTTCTGCCAGGTATTATTTCCCTTTAATTCAATTTAGAGTATTACTTATTTTATCTCCGTTATCAATTTATTTGCGTGCAACATACGCTGAATTGCGTAATATAATAAATTATATTTATCTGTAAAGAAAAGAAAAAAATATTAAACGACACGAATTCTGTGTGCGCGTCTCATAAACTGTAATAGTCAATTAAATTAAGTGAAAACATCTGAAAAATGAAAACGCACGCACACATCGCAGGGAGAACATTATCGCGTAGGTACAAAAGTGTGTGAAAGTAAACTCCGAGGGGGAAACCGCTGAGGGCATTGTGGTGTACAGATTTGCGGCATTACTGAGCATTACTAGACAATTTTTGGGCATTAGGTCTTGCTGGGCCATTATAAAGGTAAAATAAGATAATAAGATAAAGTAATGTCCACTGGGCATTAGTGGGCATTGGTGTACAAGATTTTGGTCAGCGGTTTCCCCTTCGTTAACACCCAGATATTTCTTTCGACAGACGCTACACATCCGCTGCTGATAGAGTGCGCGATCGTTTATCTTTCGTAATGATTTTAATCGCCGGTTTTATCTTCTTCCGTTGAGGAAGCAGTCGTTTATTTCGTATCAAGTTTCGATTAAGTACTGATATCTCGATTGGGGCGTCTATTCTTCTTGGTATGATAACCTTGCGTGTGCGGCGATACGAGCGATCGTGCCTACGAACGAGGTCATTAACGCTTGGATCGAAGTCGACGTAAGGAACAACGTGGGAGCAAACCGCGTTGACATCTCGCGATCGTGCGTCCTGTCCGATGCGTTTGTGTACACGTGCACGTAGGCTGCCTACGCGCGCGGGTCGAAGGTCCCACGCAGAGATTGAGCGCACAATGTAGGAGACCGACAAACGGAATGAATGAGAGCGTATAATTGAGAGAGTATTTCTCGTTTAACTGCAGTTAGCCGCCCGCGAAGAATGGACAACACTGATGGGGACAAAAAATGTTTCTGCACCTTAAAATATTATTTCGTCATATAAAAGTCAACAAATCCTGTAGTGTGTTTTTACAACGTATTTTTAGTTTGAATATTTCGCAGAAAAAAATGACCTAAGGCATTTTTTATCCCGTGCTTTGTTTCGGTAATCATCTAATAATCTAACCTAATTGTAAGATGTGTTGATTGTGGCACTATTAATTTTTGCAAACGGTCGCTTAATCGTCTTTACTTAATTTTGCATTAATGTATATATAAATAAGTGATAATTTTATTATTTTGAAATTATCAAAAGATGCACTGCCAGTTCAATTGTAGGAAGAATGCATTTTTTAAAAATATTGTTTTTGCTTATCCTTAAAAAAAAACATCAGTATTATATCTTCAATTTAACGTTTGAATATATTGCTATTATTATGCATTTAATATATCACTAATTTGTACGATATAAAAAATGCGCATATTTTTACTGGACTTTTTAATTAAGAGAGATTGAGTGTACGAAATTTGATGAAAATGTGATGATATTTTTCGGACACGTATGCGCTGAATGCAGCGTAATTAAATGCATCGTAAAACATTTTTGCTCAAATAATTTGCCATTGTTTTGCATTCATACTTAATATGGGATAATTGTTTACAATCCAGTCGTTACGTCAAAAACATTCGTTCGTTTACACATTGCGTCACGATTGCGTTACGCTTTCGATTACGAATATCACGCGTGCTTTTAGAATCAAGCGCGTTATTAAACAAGGAGAGGGTAGGGAGAGGTTGTAATTGTAAAATGCACTATTTGGTTGCAGCCATTGTACGAGAACATCGGCGTCAGTGTTGACATAATGTCGGGAGTAGTTTGCAATTCTTTCAATGATTACAAAGTATAATTAAATTTTTTTTAACCGTTCGGAGAAATGCGCAAGTAATGCGTTATAATACTTTTCGTACGAACAATACAATAAAATACCTATTTTTTGCATTGCGTCGACGTACGCGTCTATGCAAAATGCCGAATCGGAACATCGATCTATCGATCGCCTATGGAAACTGAACTTTCATCCCGAAATTGGCTAAACATTCATTGTGACAATCGAGTCACGAGGGAGCGGTTCCGTGAATGGAACGTATAACCAGCATATCTACCGGAAGTCCGGCCTACGAGTTCCGGCCCGAAGCGCATTCGTCTCATTGTCTCTTTCATCCTTTTTTTTTCGTTGCTGCTCAGTAACGAATGCTGTTGCCTGTCAACCGAAAAAGAGACTGTCGCGAGAGGTAAAAAGCAGCTGGCATTGTCGTAAGCAACTGATAATTGAAAGTTTTAAGTGGCAAAGCTATTCGATGATATAATATCTAATTAATAACAGCGGCTCTTATAACAAACTTACGAAATGCATTAATTAGTGCAGTTATTGGTTTCCTTGCATTTTTCTTCGGGAAATTTGAAAACTGTATACGTCTCACTAGAGATATGTTTAGTAATATAAAGTTTTTCAATTTGGAATTAAAATTATTTGTAAATAATACACCAAAGAGTTCGTTTTCTCCTTCTAATTCCTTTATATATTTTCTATTTGTCAGATATCTGATAATTTTTTATGAGGATGAAGTTATTATGATTATTAATATAAATTTTATGGCATCTGTCACACCTTAAATCATTTTATTATTTTATGTTATGACAGAGAAGTTAGATATTATACGTAGAATAGAATGTATCTAAATTTCATTTGGATGTTTGTGGATGTTTAAGACAATTTATATAATAATTAATTAAGGGTTTTCGTAAAATAAATTTCAGAGTTATAAATCGTTTAATAAAATTATTCTTATCCGACTTATGGATTCAAGATTTTGTTACAGAAATATTTGATTGAAAATAGGCAAAATCGCGAGAAACCATAAATATCTTCGACATTTTTTCTAGACAAAAGATTGACTTCAAGTTGCATCGGAAATTAATTTTGAACAGTTTGTTAAGTAATAGCTGGACATACTATACGTATATAAATTTACATTAGGGCATGGCGATTTTTAATGTACTGCAACAGAGCATAGAAGTAAGGCAGCTGCAGCAGCACTCGGCGCATCCGCGATTATCACCGCGCGTCCGGAGATATCAGGCACCTCGTATCGCATCGAATTTATTTATTATCATCTTCGTATCAATTGCGATTTACACTTTATCAGCTGTCCTAGAAAGTCGTGTATACATATGATTGAGATTAAAGGTAATATTGGCACACTATACCGGGTGTTCCAGGAGGAAAGTTCAATATTCTGGGAGGTGATAGTATCGGTCATTTTAAGCAAAAATATTCATACGAATATACGCCCCATTCCCCACTGTTTCCGAGATAGAGCTACTTGAATGTCTCGCGTATTTACTTTTTTTCTGTACACTTCACCCTTCATCCAACCTCATAAACGTCTGCGGGAATTTACTCTTATACGTCTGTTGACTGTTGTGCTGATAACATTGTAGAAATGTTCAAAATGCCTCGCATATTCACAGATGTCGAATATGCAGATATGCTGTATGTTTACGGTTTCTGTGACGGTAGTTTCTGTGACGCTACTGTTGAAGAATACCGTCGACGCTTTCCTATAACACGCAGAATTCCGAATCGTAAAGTGTTTTTCAAGGTTTTCAATACATTGCGTGAAAGTGGAACGCTTCCCAGTGTTCATGTTTTATCTGAACGAGGACGTCAACAAAATGTGCTCTATCTCGAAAACAGCGAGGAATGGGATGTACACGCACCGGCATAAATGCTGTCCCTATCCTTGTGAGGTGCACGCACACAACTACAGACTCTAGTTGTGTGCGTGCACCTCACAAGGATATAGGGACAGCATTTATGCCGGTGCGTGTACATTCATATCAACATTTTTGCTTAAAATGGTCGATACTATCATCTCCCAGAATATCGATCTTTCCTCCTGGAACACCCTGTATATAAAAATGCAGTATGAGTTATCTCGAGGGGTTAACAAAAATCGAGGGGGAAACCGCTGAGGGCATTGTGGTGTAGATTTACGGCATTACTGGGCATTACTAGGCATTTTTGGGCATTAGGTATTTCCTAATGCTCAAACTAATGCCCAAAAATGCCTAGTAATGCCCAGTAATGCCGTAAATCTACACCACAATGCCCTCAGCGGTTTCCCCCTCGTATTTTACCTCAGGGTTCAGCTATAGAGACGTTTAGTGAAGATTGAAAGATTGTTAAAGATTGGTTAAGACGGTTTGCAATTAAAGTTTTGTCTCAGGAAGATTGAATGATAAAGATATAGACAACAATACTAGCGACACCGAGAGCAACACCTTTGGAATATACAATATTTATTTGTCTCGGTTATAATTGTATTGAACGACCACAGTTAACAAGCGGTATCGAGTTACCCTCGCAAATTGATGGGCAATCATTCCTCGATGATTATCCAAACACTTTGTTGTAAACACGCGCATAATCGCTTACGGACCAAGATCAATAGATTGTACGCGCTGTACATTATTTATAGCTCACTCGTCAACTTATAAACCGACATGTCTTTTGCAGATCGACTACCCGGAAGTTCATGGCGGGGGGAGGATGCATCGACCACCGCACCCCCATCCCATAACCGACCACCGTCAGGTCAACCTGGTCTTCGATGACACGGTAAATATCTCTCTATTTTTTACTTTTTTATGGCAATCTTACAGCCTTGATCACTTGTATGAGAGTTTCTTCCCGTACCCGTCTGAACAAATAATGTTTAATGTCGTTTCAACCCCGTACCGAAGTCGGGGAAACCTTTCTTCGTCGAGGAAACTCCGGTGGCTTCTCATAAATCACTCTTCTCGGTCATTCATGGTTGCGTGTGGCTTCTTTATCGTAAACTGTTATTCCATCTGCTATCTTGGCTCCGTAGATCTTGATGAAAGTGCTGGATCTTCTCGTTTTTATCTAGGTATCGTTATAGAACGTCAAGTCAAAATTATTTGAGTGATTTCCAGGATAAAATATATTCAGTGATTATCTATAAAAAAAATAGTGCGTAAAACGTTTGTGCTAGTTGTTTGCGATTTGAAAAGGCCTGCGGGAGCGTTTCTTGTCTTTTCACTCTATGTTCATCGTGCACGATGCGCAGTTCTCTCGAAGGAATGGTACAATTATCTGTATCGAAATCACTGTCGAAATACAAACTGTGACGATATCAGTCCACCCATATGCAATATGTAGAGAAAAGTCCCCCATTATGCCCCGGCAAAGCCTAATGCCCAAAAAATGCCCAGTAATGCCCGGTAATGCCGCAAATCTGTGCACCACAATGCCCTCAGCGGTCTACCCCTCGGGGGTTTCTGTCAAATTAATAGGCGTCATCAGTTGACTCCGCCATGAATTTATTGCCATGAAATCTGTTCGGTGGAAAATTCATTGTTAAATTGCGTAATCGTTGCGAAAAAAGATTTGCGATCGAATTCGGGTGTTGTAAACCTGCTGTCTCATGTTGGAAACCTGTCTCATAATAGAGGACTGCCCTCTAATTGTAAGTTAAACGCCCTCGGGTAAGTTTGCCAATCAGAATTTGGTTCGATTCGGCGTCGAACGCGTGCGGCAAGTGTGCCTGCGGAGCATCATCCTTCCGGCGGGCAAGAAGCTGAATGGGAGAAGCAATTTGGAAAGTAGTGTGTGGCGCGGGACAAAAGGAAAAGTGAGATACACGGGCACGAACGACATAACGGGTCGTATAAATCATCCGTCGGGTCGGACAGTGGCCTTTGAGCGGTTACTATCCGTTGCTGGATGGATGCTTTGAGCGGACCAGCGGCGGCGGCGCTTCTCCATCCTCGTCTCTTCCTCTCTTTTTCCGCCGTCTCTCGCTCTCTCATTCTCTCCCTCTCGTGCGCCTTTGCGGCTCGATCGACCGTCCGTCGACTCCTTAAGCGTATTTCACACGATCGCCCAACAGTGACTTTCTATAGAGAGGCCTCTTAAGATCAATTCAGGTGTCGTTATTGGCGTCAATTTACGTCATTGTTTGTTTATTGTTCCGCACGGCGATTAACTAATCGCGAAGGTTGATGAATATTAATCGCGGGACCAACGGCGCGTTCTTTCTCGATCAGCTTCTCGAGCGTGTTTTGCAATATTCTTATGACGTTACATCGGCCGCTGACATTCGCGTGGGTATGCAAATCGAAGTAGGCTGCATTACGGAGGGGTATACATATATCAAGCGTTATTGTATTTTTAATCTCGGTTATTTTTGTCACGTCTTAGCATAATCGTTATTTATTGAGTATCTACGTCCAAAGTAATTATCGCCAAGTTAATTAATTTTTTTTTTAACGTTATGGAGAATTTTGTTAGCTGCAGCTTGAATTTTCAAGCTTACGTACGTACGACCGAGTAATTCCATTATTTAATTAAAAACAAGTTAGCGCTTGTCCCACGAGATGTGATTGGTTTTGCGTCAGCTTTATATGGTATACGTGCATATATAATTTGTAAAAAATTGAAACGTGGGAGAGAATTTTATACGTCACGCAGTCTTTACTCTTCCCTCGGGTAAAGTAAACTAATTATTCATCATCATTCATCTCTCGTCAAATCACTTCCAAATACCATCAGGTAACGAATCGGACAGTTATTTAAATCCCCTTTCCCGTACGCAAATTACACTCGATCACCCTTTCCTCCCAGCATGCAGTTGCATGCTATATTATAAGCATTAATAAATAATTATTCAGATTATTAATGCTTATAATATTATGTCACTTTTGTCTTTAATTTTCTTCTGAAACTCTACATGCCTGCCGCCACTATTATGCTGAAGTCAGTTGTGTAACAATGGTTTTATTGTACTATGTTAACAAGGTAGAATGCGTCTTCATATAACGGCTGCCGTAGCCTGCATGTAAATATTGAGATTATAAAGATGCAAATCCGTGCCGTGTTCACGAGTTACTGTGAAATTACGAATACTGATACTGAACATACTAGAGGTACATACGCGCGCGCGTATGTGTGTGTGCGCGCCTGTGCGGTGTAACGAAATTTAATTTAATCCCCATGCAGTACGAACAACAAAATTTCATTAAACTACCATCGTTTCGACTTTACGTGGGAAACGAAATTCAATTTCCCAGTCGGTATATCAAAACAATTTTTAACATATATCCTTCCTTTGATCTCCTTTGATTTATTTCGCGAATTAATTCCGTACAATACCGAAATATATATTTCATTTTACTTCTCGCACACCTTGGACTTTTATTGAAATGTAGGATAGATTTTATATTATGAAAAATCGTTTTGCGATAGTAAACTCCCACGTTGTACGAAAAGAGTAAATTTAAATCTTTGATGAATCTCAAAACCCTAAAGTTGCGACGCCAATTTGGTATCGAATTGCCAAGAATCAGATTTAATTTCTCAGTTTCGATCTCACGTGGAAAATGAAATTTAATTTCTCAGTCGGTATATCAAAACAATTTTTAACATATATCTTTCCTTTGATTTATTTCGCGAATTAATTCCGTACAATACCGAAATATATATTTCATTTTACATCTCGCACATCTTGGACTTCTATCGAAATATAAGATAGATTTTATATTATGAAAAATCAGTTTACGTACAATAGTAAACTCCCACGTTATATGGAAAGAGCGGATTTAAATCTTTGACGATTCTCACAAACCTAAAGTTGCGACGCCAATTTGGTATCGAGTTGCCAAGAATCAGATTTACTCTCGCAGTTTCGATTTGCGGCCGTAATCGAGCACGTTCGCGGGCGAACGATCGAGAGATCCGTCGAATTCCCTCCCCCCAAAAAAAAGAGAAAGAAAAAAAAGAGAAAAAGAAAGGAAATCTCGCGCGTGGAAGCTACAGGTGGGCCGGCGTCCCCCTCCCCCGTCGGCCGACGTGATGCGCCCCCCCGTTGACACGGACCTGAGGAGCCGCTCACGGCTCACGGCGCGGCGGGTCACGTGACTGCGCCGCGATCCGAAGGGAATGCCAGCGGCACGGCGCGGCACGACGCGACGCGGGTGACGGCGGGAGTGCGGGACGGGACGAGAGGCCAGTCCTACGTTCGCCAAGCTGATGACCGGCCGCGACGACGACAACAGACGGATGGACGCGTCACGAGTTTCGTGCTGAGCTTTCGTACAAAGAGGGTCACGTCCGCTTGCGCGCGCGTTGCGGTATTCGCGGCGCGCCAGCGAGAGGGAAAAAACGTCGGGACGAGAAGCGCGCAGGAAAATGCGGACGCGTCCCGCGGCCGCGGACGACTCGTCGGATCTGTCGTGATTGCGCTCCGCCGAGGAGGAGGAGGAGGTAGACGGGAGCCAACGACTACGGGGGTCGCGGATCCCGCTGGCGCGATGGACGCGTTCGGCGTGTATCAAGTGAGTGCCTCTCCTCTCGAGGCTATGCTCAAAATGGCCTTGGCTCTTTCTCTCTCCCTTTCTCTCGCGGGGCGCTCGTGCCCCGCGTCGGGAAAGCGGGTTCTCGGGCAGCGCGGGGCCGCCCCTCGCGATGACATGACAACAGTCGTCGTAGGTGTCTTGTTTGGATGACGAATATATGTGTACGGACGCGCGCGAGGGGCTCGCTTCGATGCACGGGGTCCCTCCGCGTAAATACATGCGTGCGTGATGTCATGTCGCTGCGACCTAACCTAACCGCGAGCTAGAGCCTGTCCCAATCACGCCCATTCCTGGTATTTCTCACCTCGCGCTTGCCAGCGAGCAGCGTCCTCGTCGTCGCTCGACGATGTTTTGTCCCGCACCTGTGCAGGTACAGCATTGCCCATTTTCCGCACATCTTCCTTGCGGAACGTTGTCTAGTTCCGTTGGATGGGTTGTTCAACGTGCGTTGTTGTTATCGCAGTTATTAGGTTGATGCCTCAGAGAAGAGGGTTAGGTTAGGTTAGATTTAATGTTTATCTAGCTTTGTAATTTATACAACTTGTCTAAACATGCTTGTGTAAGGGCCTGCGTCTGCTTGGTCCAAGTTCCAGCATCGTGGACGCAGGCCTCAAATGACGGAAGAACTTGTTATAACATTATCCAAGTCTTATTTCATCTCGGTTCACTTTTACTCAATCACTTTAGTCACAAGTATCTCTTTCTTTTCACTGTATAATCTATAATACTTGTTATACATATATTCGTGTAATCCTTTTCACAATAGAAATAGGAATTTATACTTTGTGGCCTGTGGACACGTTGCATCTTGTGTCAACGTTGTATTGATTTATACAGTTTTCTATACGTACGTAACATTTCGTATTTAAGAGAAGACTAAAGCTTATTAAACTACTTCGGAAAGTTTGATATGAAATGTACCTTGTGTGGTAATACGTAAAGTTGGTAGATTGTGACGATTAAACAAACTGTGTACTTAAATCCTTAAGAATTAAGAAATTATGTTAAATAAGCTGACAAAGTCTTTCCTTTGTAGTTCTCACAGGGCCTCACGGGCAGGCCGGAGCTGTATCAGAAATCAAATAGAAGCAGCCATTCGAGTGACACAAGTTCGGCGTACAGTGGATCCGACACCATGACATCTGTACAAAGCTCGTTGGACGCGGATCCCGATGAAGTGGATCTGTCAGGTCTCGTGGAATCCATCGTCGACAGCGACGAGGAGGAGGATCTGGCAGAGAGCATGGATGTGAGTATCGTGGCTTTATCCTGCCGTTCCCTAGAGATGCGTCAGGCGTGACTCTAATTTCTGCTCTTGTGTTAATGTTTTAGAGCTTGACGGTGCGCGATCCCGTACGAGAATGTTTAGAGAAGGATCCGGTGGATAGAACGGAGGACGACATAGAGACGCTTTTAGAGTTCACGCAACAATTGAAAGCTTTCACAAACATGACTTTGGCTGTCAGAAGAGCGCTGTGCGCTGTAATGGTATTCGCGGTGGTCGATCGCGCCGGTATGGTGGTCTTGAATGACGGCGAGGAACTCGACAGTTGGAGCGTTCTGATCAACGGCGCGGTTGAGATCGAGCACACCAGTGGCGAGATTGAACAACTTGGTCTCGGCGATAGCTTTGGTATCTTGCCTACTATGGAGAGGCTGTTACATCGCGGAGTTATGAGAACAAAGTTCGTAGCGTGTTTCTTCCTTACTTTTGTACGGGCAGCGATGCCTAAGTCGAGTATAGGAAAGCAACAATGTGGTTTTCTATCTGCAGGTGCGACGATTGCCAATTTGTTTGCGTCACGCAAGCAGATTACTTTCGGATTCAGCATCAGGGAGAAGAGAATACGAGAAGACACGAAGAGAACGGAAGGGTGATTCTAGTGACTGAATTGCGAGGAGCTCTGGACGGCGCAGCCCGAAGAGGTCACGTGGTGATCCGGGGAACGCCAGAGCGTTTGATGTTACAGCTCATCGAAGAAAACAGTATTACGGATCCTACTTATGTGGAAGATTTCTTATTGACTCATCGAACGTTTATCGATAGTCCGTTGTTAGTCGCGAGCCAATTGCTGGAGTGGTTCGATCAAGCGCAAGTGCGAGATCGTGTCGCTCGCGTCGTGCTCTTATGGGTGAACAATCATTTTACCGATTTCGAGACTGATCCAGCGATGATGGAATTTTTAGAAGCATTTGAGACTGGACTGGAAAGAGAGAAAATGCTGGGACAACAGAGGTAAATTCTCTCGTTTCTCTCTGTTTTATTTTTTTCACGGAATTAAGAAATAAACCTTGTAATCGGTTGTTTGACTCCAGGTTGTTAAATATTGCGTGTGCGGCGAAAGCGAGAACGCGGAACGTAACGTTAGCCAGGCCAAACAGGGACGAAGTCCTAAATTTTAGCATTTTAGGAGGATTTGAGAGAGGGTTTGGCATATTTATCTCGAAAGTTGACAAGAGATCTAAGGCTGAAGATGTCGGTTTAAAGAGAGGCGACCAGATTTTAGAAGTGAACGGCCAAAGTTTCGAGCATGTAAATCATACGAAAGCTCTCGATATTCTGAGAGCTTCTACGCATCTCAGTATAACTGTAAAATCTAATTTGCTTGGTGCGTTTAATTTATAAACCAGAAATAATTATTTGTATACATAAAAATGTTTTCTTTACCTTTAATTATTTAATCTTTTATAGCCTTTAAAGAAATGCTTCAAATGCCAGACAATTCCCCAAGACCCCGTGGTAGAGCAAATAAGCCGGAAATACCGAGGCTTCCGTCGGATCCACGAGTTAGACTATCGACGCACGTGGATCCCATGACTCCTGTGAATCCTTTAAATCCCATGATTGGCGGAGTGCCGTTATTAATTCCGGACAACAATGTATCGCCGTGCAAAGATGCTAAAAAGGAGCACAAAGGATTTATGACTCTTGGACCTAAACGGCGATTACAGAAAGCACTTATGAAAATGAACATACTGCCAAAGAACACGATCAAGTGAGTGCATATTGCAGTAATAATTATTAAATCTATATGGATCCTTACTGACGCAAGATACTTTTTAATTTTAACAGCGACGGTGTACATGTGGACGACCCTCTTGCGCCACCGCATACACCACCGGGAACAGGGCTCACGCAAACTACTACTAATCTATACCATTCGAAAAGTAATCCAGATCTTACGTCGCTTTATTGTTACGACGACTTGAGGGCAAACGATTATCCTGAACATGTGCTCAAAGTATATAAAGCTGATCAAACCTGCAAATATCTCCTTATTCACAAAGAGACGACAGCGCATGAGGTAAATTTATACTCTGTTAAAATTAAGTAACTGAAGAAAAATATATAACCACGCATTAACCTTTTGTAGGTGGTGATGCTTGCACTTCAAGAATTTGGCATAACAGAAAGCAGTTCAAATTTCTCACTGGCCGAAGTGAGCGTCGGCGAAGGTGGTATGATTAAGCAGCGTAGATTGCCAGATCAATTGCAGAATCTTGCGGAACGAATCGGATTGAGCTCTCGATACTACTTGAAAACTAACGGAATCTCCGAGACTTTAGTAGCCGACGATCAAGCTCCGGAACTCATTCGAGAGTCCCAAGTGCACTTTTTGCAACTGAATGCTGTGGAAGTAGCAATACAACTGACTCTACAAGACTTCAGTATATTCAGGTAATTCGATACTTGGTGAAATCTGCCTATCGCGAATTGCATCTGCAGTTCGATCGCTTTGATCGATGGTTTTATAATAACGACTTTTGTGTATTTCGTTGCAGACAAATCGAATCCACCGAGTATGTGGATGACCTGTTTGAATTGAAGAGTAGGTACGGTGTACCTATGCTCAGTCAGTTTGCGGAACTAGTCAACAGAGAGATGTTCTGGGTTGTAACAGAGGTTTGTTCCGAACATAATCTCGTCCGGCGCAGTAAGATTATAAAGCAATTTATTAAGATAGCGCGTAAGTATTTTTGGGATCTTGTCCTTTACTTTTCTTCTTGGGCATTCTATATCAACGATATTTTTCTGCGCAGGCCAATGCAAGGAGTGCAAAAATTTCAATTCCATGTTCGCAATTGTATCCGGTTTAGGCCATGGCTCAGTATCGAGATTAAGAGCTTCGTGGGAAAAACTGCCAACCAAATATCAAAGATTATTCAGCGATCTACAAGAATTGATGGATCCCAGCCGTAATATGAGTAAATACCGGCAGTTGGTGGCGTCTGAACAAACGCAACCACCGATAGTGAGTCATTCTTCTTTATAACAAAATTATCCTTCATTCACATTTGTATTTACCTTTGCAGTTTATGATATACTATCTTTTTCTGTCATTTAAACTTGTACTGTGATAACCATAAGTTATTACTAGCGAGTTAAATAATTATTTATTTTAGATACCTTTCTATCCGGTCGTGAAGAAGGACTTGACCTTTATACATCTTGGTAATGATTCGAGAGTAGAGAGTCTGGTGAATTTCGAAAAACTCAGAATGATCGCGAAGGAAGTGAGAACGTTAACAAACATGTGTTCCTCACCCTATGATTTACTCACTATGCTGGAGAGGGGCGGACAACCACCAAGCTCCGCGATGGTAGCTCTGAACCAAATGACTACTGGCAATCAAGGTTATTTTCTCATATTGTTTCGTATCGTCTTCGGCTTGGTTTCGGGATACAGTATTTATATGTGCGTTATCGCGATTTATAGGCGGCCAAACTGCGACGGTGAAACGACGAAAGAAATCGACGGCCGCACCAAACCCGAAGAAAATGTTTGAGGAAGCACAGATGGTCCGAAGAGTGAAGGCCTATCTCGCGAATATGAAAGTGATCACCGACGAGGAACGGTTGCATCAACTTTCCGTGGATTGCGAGCCACATGCGGGAGCCGTTGCAGTTGCAGCCGCGGTACCATTGGGTGGTAGTCGGGGAAGGAGGCATCCGTCGCCTACTCTGTCGACTACCAGTAGCGCCAGTAGCACCAGCGAAGGCAGAAAGAGTATACAAGGTTGGCGAATCTCTACGGCTGCGCTATAAGTAATATTTCCAAAGAGTTTTAGTAATTTGTGCGAATTATTCTCAGGTACAAAATTTGGTGCCGCGTCGCCGCAAGCAGTTAGGAAGATGTTGGCTCTGTCTGATCCTCACAAGACACGACCGTATCAACCTAAGCACTGTCCACCGCCGCTACCTGTACCGGGATTGGCACTACATTCGAGCGGTTTGGAGCCTAGTCCAGGCGCACCTAGAAGAGTAGGATCCGGCAGCAGGGTACCGATGCACGAACGATCCCACAGCGATACTCCTGCCAGCCTACCGCCGCCTGTCGATCTCAGCGCGGAGAGCAGTAGTGTAACTAGTTTGAGCAATCTCCAGCCGCTGAGGAAAACCTTGACAAGCGGTGAGTACAGTCTGTTTTTTCTTCTTTACGAAATGGTTTGAAGCGAGATGCTGTCCAGTGATACGTTCTTTTCTAGGTTTCTGTAAAGACATATTTGGACGAATTATTCCGTCTAAATAGATCTCGAAATCAATCGTATTTTGCGGTACTTTTTTTAATAGCTCTTTGTTCCATAACTTTCTAGACCATATTGACGGACTGTTAGATTGTTAATCGATTATAAATATGGACTCTGTAGACACGCATCTCGCGAAGCACCATCACGCACTTTCATTGCTCGTTACATACACTGGTCAGGTCTCGCAACAAGGAGTCTCATTATTATGCACGCTGCACAGCCGTTTACGCAATTCATAAATGTTCCATGTTATTTAGTTGATCCATATATACACGACACTCACACACGCATCTTGTATGCCGATTACTATAGCGCGAGCTTTTCTTTTCGATCAGACATCACGACGTCACGCCTCGAACTCTTTAACTCCAGAACGAACTGCGGCTTCGACTCGGAGCTCTCATACCATGGGACATACGGAGTCGTACTTTAATAAGACTTACAGCGCTGTTTTTACGCAGTCCAAGTAGACAGACTCGTCAATAAATTCTGACAGTTTTAATTCGTAAATGCCGCCGGGAAAGATTAAGTAAATTGCACAGCCGTAGTTTAATTTGAACGTTTAACCGAGCACAACCTGATTTCAGAACGTCGTATAGAGGATCAATAAATATCATTGGTTACTACAACTTTAATGCGGCGTATAGTTGCGTATATAAGATACACTTGTTGATTACGCTCTGCTAATGACAGGATATAGAAGCTTGTAGACGGTAAGAAAGAGATGCTAGAAAGACGTGCAATTGGAGTGTGGCGAGGTGATGAAGGTTTACGTTAGGTTCTCGCGCCGGCTCTCTTTGTGAGACAGTTTGCTCTGGAACGAAAAAAGAAAAGATACGGATTACGAATGAGGCGGACGAAGCGTCGCGTGTAGACAGTAGGGTCGTTTAGCGATCGCGTCAGGGCGTAATCTCTCGGTTAGAACGTGTGTAGTGATAGAAGTGTCTTGGGAACCTGTGCGTAGGTTCGGTGACGAGCAGTGACAGTGGTCATAGCACTCAGCTGGACAGCCACAGCGGGAGCAGCGTGGAAGCGGGCGGCAGCCCACCGCCACCGCAAAGACGGCACTCCGCTCTGCAAGGTACGTAATGAAAAACACGAGAGTGAAACGAGAGAACGGATTATGGCCAAGTGTGCTCGTGTGCTGTTCCTCTTGCCCGATCCGTAGAGACACACACACACACACACACACACACGCACACATACACGCGCGCGCGCACACACATACACACACACACACACACACACACACACACACACACACACCGTAGTAGAGTGGTAGAAACATGGTAGTTTCTTCCGCGGTGTCCGATGCCGCCTCCGGAAATCGGCCGGACCGGAAATGAAATTTCTCTTAACGCGCTCACGACGAGAGCTGGATATCATTTCTACGATATGTGGGATTACAGTTTAAACACCCATTCGCCATGTTTGTTTTTACATTATTTTACATTGGCTTTAGTTTTTGCATCATCTGTTTTTATCTGTTGCCAGACGATTACTCGTCTGTCGTTTTGTACCGAGTGATAGTACTGTTGATAGTATTTAGAATCAAAAGCAGCGTATAATTTTGGTGTGTCTAGATTTTGACGTTACAGACGTGTGAGAGTGATGTTTGCGTTCGATGCAGTGGCGTTGAGAATTAAACCGATCGAAATTTCAACGTGAATATTGAATACTCGCAGCCGCGTACTTGAGTTTACAAATTACTTGCAATAAATATTATTTGATTATTTGTCGAGTGCTACTAAAATATGTAGGGGTTTCCGTTCACACGTTATCTCATTATTTCGCACAATAGTTGGGTCGCTGGCAAAATTTGATCGTTGAGAGACGTATGTCCCATGGCCACCACGTATCTTCAAGCGAATTACCGTAGATATCAGACAAATGCACAAAGAGTATTAAACGTTACTGGACATTGCGTGCCGTATGTTTTCGTATCGATACTCGCGTCGTCGAGCGCTGCGTAAATAGCATATAACAACTATGCTTTCAATCGCTTCTCAAGGTTCCGCCGCTTTCAAGATTCGCTTTACAGCTTACCACTCGCTTCATCACGCAGGCGGTATCTCATGCGTTACTCGTCGTTAATCGTGCGCTTTTGGTAACGCACTTGCATCGCATAAAGGCGATTCCGTTCCGAGGAATCTCTTCGCGTCCCCAGTAAACGGCACAAGTTTGTAGATTCTGTAAAAAGAAAGAAAAATATGTCGTATGTGGCCTCTGTATGGTGCAGGGTCTGTTATAAGAGGCGGAGCACCCCCGTTTCCTCACGCGGTAGCAGTGTTACCTCCGCTTCCTGCCAATCAGAATCACAACCACAATCATCATCACCACCATCACCACCACCAACATTATCACGATCATCATCATCATCATCAACCCCCAACTCCTCAAGGTGAGTTCGCGACTGTCTGCCTGTTTCGTTTGTCTGGTCTGCATCGACTCATTATTGCATTGATCTTGCTGTCCCTTGCCTCGAAGGAGGGGTCTATTTTCAGGATGCAAACAGTATATGGCTCATGCATGCGAAGCGATATGCCCAAGTATTGCGAATGGTAGAAAGTAATCCTGCTGGTCTTCAGCGTCTACATACCGCTTGAGCTTTATCTGAACGGAGATCGCCTTCCTCTGAGGAAAAGCGAAAAGTGTTTGGTCTCCGATGCGTGACGTGCGTGCAACTATTCATTATCGAACGAGTTGGTTCGCACGCTGGTGACAAATGTAGCACTACCGTTCGTTTCTGACATGACCTAGAAACGCAACGCGTTTACATCGAGCTTGCTCCACTTGCGTATTTGCGTATACCCCAGTATTAGCGGAGATAATTGACCGTTTCTTTTCAGGGTATTGACTATGTAAAATATCTGTGCTTCTTTTCTCCTGGGCAGGTTGGCGGGTGGTGAATGTCTTTTGCGATTTAAACTCGTTTACCTCTCGTGGATCTCCGGCTGTAAGCGAGCGCGACTATCTTTTATCTCTCAACAATTAGCCGAATGCTGTAACTTTTTTTTAACGCTACTTCTTAAGGGTGGGAAATACGAAAGGGAAACTTGAATAAAGTTGTGGACATATTAAATATTTTGACAAAAGAAATAGTGACAACAATGAACGTTGCAAAAGCGCAAATTATAAATGCGTGGGGAATGAAGTAAACATGGAGCCCCATAAAAACAAGAATTTAATTCTTATTTTGTTGTATTTTTATATTTTGATTATCATTTATTTTGCAAGGTTACTCGGTATCTTATATACAAAATACTCAGGATGTCTTCGTTAATAACTTGGCTAATTAAGTTTCTATGTAACGAAAAAACGGGCACAAGTTTGCTCGTTACTCGCGGCATTCTCGCTCATTTACAAATGCTGCATCCGCGGTGGCAGGCGAATCGCTTTGTTGACGAGGTGGTGGATGTTGAGAGGGTGAGAAAGGGCGAAACGAAAGAGAAAGAGAGATCGAAAGAGTCGAGGGTTTTCAGGTACTACGGGATTAGGAGTAAACATGGGCCTAGGGATGCCAGCCCCGTTGCCACCGCCCGGAGCGGGGACGACGACGATAATGACGATGGGTGCTATGGCGGGCAACATGACATCGTCGATGCGATCAGGCATGAGTAGCACACCGCAATGCCGTCAACCACCGGCGTACAAAGTCGTGCAGCAGATGGCGAGATTGCACAGACTCGGTCGTGCTAACAGCCACGAAGGGGTCACCTATCGGGGCACCGATCACGAAGATGGTACTACATCTAGCCAAATCGCTCTACCGTTCACACACGGTTCACACTCACCCTCACACATACACACATACACATCTCTTCGGTTTACGCTCGTTGAGGCGAGCGCATCGTTTTTACGTTCTTGTTGTCAGCATTCACGCACGGCGAGGAGCGGTGATTTGTTGGCGAAAGCCAGCTCCGTCAGCTCACTATTGTCACTCGGAACAGCTTCCGTCAAAATTCTACTCTCACGACCACCAATTCGCAATGTTTTTGTTCATTTTTCTCCTTGGAAATTTTTCATCGTGCGTGCTGTGAAAGATGATTATTATCTCTGTGCATTTCCAACTTTTGTCTCTTTCTCCTCATACATGGTACTTGTTTAGAGATGTTTGCGAACTTCTCCAAAACTTTTTCTGAATTTTTTCTATTTCTAAAAAAGATTTAACGTGACATAATTGACACACGAAATTTTGAACGTAGCAGTGGACGCAATTATGAACACAATCTTGACCGCAATATTGAACATAATTCTAAACAGAATGGCAACATTGGCGTTCATTGACGGACATTATTAGTAGTGTTTATTAGTATACAGTGTAAATAAATACTACATTTACTTGTAAAATGAACGATGCCTGTATAATATATTTGTAAAGTTTATGTTTAATCAATGTGATTTTGTAGCACACTCATGGTCACATAATTTCGCGATGCGAAATCATATTTGTTTGCATTATGTCAATATTTATGTTAGATCATTGCATAATGCACTAGCTTGCCCATCATCATTGAATTTTGCATTGAAACATAATACATTAAATTTTGTTTATTTTTTTTGCGTGATGCCAAGGCATGATTTGCTGCTTGTCCATGTCGCACGTTTTTCTCTTTCAGTTTTATTTGCATCAATTATTATGAATTTCTCTTGAACTGATATATCTTAAAATAATTAGACTTAGAAACGCAGTACGTTATGTTTACGAGCGTCGCATTAACGAGAGACTCTAATACAGAAAGATATAGAAAATAAATATAAATTGTCTTATATGCAATTTATATTTGGGAATTAAGACATTATTGCGATGAATATTACCACATGCCTCGGCGGTCGAATTCGTGAGCGCCCGCCTAGCGAGTAGGGCGGTCCAGGTACAAACCCTGGCTGAGGTAATATTTTTCATAATAAATTTAAAATAAGAATTATTTTGACACTAACATCCTGTCACGGCTGTTCTAGTCTCTATTCCCTCGAGTTTGTGTTTATCACACGAGAGCCGTATAAACTTGATTAATTTGTTCAATTTATAGTTATTTTCTACATCATATACAGGGTGTCCCATAGCTTTTTATCAATATTATCTTGGAAAGGTAGAACGGATTGAAGTAAAGAAAAAGTCCCATACCGTATTGCAATATTTGCAATAATTATTTAGATATTGAATATTAAAGTCGGGCAAATAAGAACGCGGGAAGTGCTGAGGCTGTTCGAACGGCCCATTGTGTCTAGCATTGGTTGGACACCTTGTATACACGTATATCGTACAGCATGGAACGTCTACAGTTTTTAATATTTAGCAAAACTTTTGCGTTATTGATCGCTGTAATATTGTATTGTAATATTTTTATGATATAAAACTGTTGCTCCGATTTGAACCGATATTAAATCGTGCAAGACTGCACACGTTAAATCGGATTGATCCAATTAGAGTCTCTCGTGCTCCAATCATTACATTCGACACTTGTACGTGTCATTTATTAAAACGCATCTTAAATTGTTGCAGATGACGAAGACGCCCAAGTGTCGGCGGTTTAAGTGGTCCACGAGTTTCACCGAGTGTCGATTACCATTTAGTTAATTTCGTCATACAGTTTGTTTTACACGGTCAAAGGAGAAATCGTTTCCGGATAATACCATGCGCGTGCCGTTGGCAACGAAAAGAGAATGCAGGGAAGATGGACGACACTCGCACACTTTCTTCCTATTACGATAAACGTCATTTTGCATTCGTAACGGTAGCATCCTAATTCGATGGCTTTTGGCCGTCAACATGTCGTGACACTCTCTTGAGGCGTGGGCCAATTTCTCGGTTTGGCGGAACCTACTTAGACTTTGCTGCAAGAAAAGGCGTTTATTCTTATTTAAGCGGAACGCTCGTCTTCCAAGGGTCCCCGCGACGAACCTGAAGGAATCAGCGAGAATCTCAAGCGTTAAGATATTTGTACAACGTATCGTGGAAAGCGACAAGTAACTGGTGAATGTCGGTAAGCGGGAGAAGACGGTAGGGGAGAGTATTTTTCTTTTATTAGGCTAAAGGAACACTTCTCGAGTAAGCTTATGGGCTTTCACGGGATTGCGAGAAGCGAGTTAAATATGAGAAGGAGAGAAAACGATCGTAATATTCTATATAAATGTGTAATAAAACCAAGTCCAAAGATGTTATATATATATACATACTATATATATATACATATATATATATACTGCGTGTCGCCAGAGAAAGTACGAATATGACGGCGTGTCCTGTAATATATACTTGATAGGTAATTTAGTGTCTCATAATAGTGTAAGTTGGTGTAAATAGCATAGTGTTATAGTATTTAGGAACGAAGAGCAAAGGGACTACGAGAAATGAGACAAAGATTCATTGTTTAAAATAATGCGGCTAGCTCTTGTGTTTTTAACGCAATAGCTTCGCCAGCGTTGCATATTTAAAAGTTAAAAGAATTAAATTCGTTTCTTTATTGGTAAAAAAAAATGGAAATGTCTCATAATCGTTTTAGGTTTCGTTTACGCGTTACTCGAAACGATTTATTCCATTTTAAGCGCCTTCCTTTTAAAAGATTTCTATTGCCAATCTGGCTCTGGTACAGACGATTCAAATTTTACAAGGAAAAAGTTGGTGTACTTTTACGCTTTTGCTGAATTTTAATGACGTAATCAAGTACAAAAAAAAACGAATTTTTCGAAGACTACGATCGAGATAATTTTTTTTGCACCAGCGCAATCTTTTTAAGCATGGTCGTTCACACGTTACGAAACTATACTTTGATTCATTAATTTTTACGAAATGCATAACGAATTTTAATTTGCAAATAAATTATTGTTCTGATTATTATTTTTCTAATCTCAAATCTTTAGTTTGATACTTTATCGTCGATGTTATCATCGGGTTTATATTCGTTATTTTATGAATATCGAGGTACTTGTTCAGTTTTACGAGTGTAATCCGCAACGTACGAAAGAAATTTCTTGAGATCGTATCTCTCGTAGAATTCGAGGACAAAGACAAAAAGAAGAAATAAAATAAAAATTTTCGCTACTTTACATGTCGGTACGAGAGAAGCAGTTGGCTTTATTATAGTAGATTTATCCATGTATATTATATAAACACACAGAGATACAAATGTGTGTGCGAACACACACATACACATATACATGTACACATATGCTCTTGTCTTACTTGAGACTCGAGTCCTTTTACAAGTATTATAAAGAAATTGTAATTCACGTGCACGATATGTATCGACGCGTTAGCAAAGAGGGCCTAATTACCTGGGCACCGTTTTTGCGATTGCCAAGTATGCGGAAATCGAAAAAACGCACGAAAGAGTATAAGAGAGAATGCGAAAGAGTGTGAATGTGTATGTGAGAAAGGAAAATAAAAAGAGTGAGTATCAAGAGTCAACACAGTGCTTTTTGGATACTCGGATCTCTACCATTAATTACATTCCAAACTTTGCCTTGCCGTGTTTATACTTGTCAACAGTTGCTTTCCTCTTCCGATTATCCTCCTCAAAAAAGGGGGAGGGAGAGGAGAGAGAGAGAGGGGGGAAGCACAAAGTCCTCGTTTAACAAACTGCTGTCAAATATTATTGTTGCTAATGTTGACTTATTTTCTTCCTAGTTATTTTCTTCCTTTCATTAAAAGACCAATCTTAAAATCCACAAAGACTGTGTTACTCTTCGATGTAGTGTCCGGTGATCTCGAAGGATCGGGAAGGAGTAGATCTTTCCATCTCGGTCTTTTGGGACAGGAATATATTTACACACACCTTCATATTCATATATTATATCTCTTTGTACATATCCTAACAACTTTTAAATATTAATATTCAACGTTCTCGAAAAATTTTTAAACGTATATACCGGTAATTAACATTCTTCGTAATGCAGCGTCAAAAACTAAATTCTTTTCTTTTCTTCAGGTCTGACGCGACAAATCCATTTTTATCTTTGTTCTTTCTCTCGTCATATCTTGCATTTTAGGCGCACTAGGCTCTATGTCATTCCACGTGCATTTATAATTCTCGAGAAGAATCGGTGAATTTTTATCAAGAATTCTGAACGTTGAGAATAGTTTCGCTTATTATAATTGATATACATGTTTTGAACAATTTTTTTATGCGAGAAATTTTTATACACAGTCGTATGAGATACTATTTATAGAATTCCACGTTGTGAGTTGGTACGCAGAATTCTCGGTGGAAATTCCAAATTTCATATTGTTCCAGTAAAATCGTGTAATCTTTTGGTAGCGACTTAAATTTAGCCTCGAAGTAAAGGAGCCTTGGACGTCTTACAGTTAACTCTTGCTCTTTTCTTTTAACGAAACTCGATAGGAAACTATACAATGCGAACACGCGAGAATGTTTACTGTTCGGGAAATGGAAGTTGAGACGGGCCGCATTTTCTTCCGCTCACCGTCTCTTTCTTTATTTTATTTATACCATGCCTCGTTCTGTTGTTTTAATTATTTATAACCCCGAGATATATTCGTCTATTAACGCGGACAGGAAGCAACAGAAAAAATCTTTTGTATTTAATTTGTTTAATAAAACTTGAATCATAGTACAATGTCTCCTAATTTTTTTCAATTTCGTTCGTTGCAATCCTATTCCACGCATCGAGATCCATCTCCCACGCTTATTTATTAACGTTTTACAATAGTACAAAGACCAATAGGTAAACTTTTTCAAGATATACTTGTACATTTCTATTTCGCCAGATACAACAAAAAATTAGTAGAGAAGAGAACATTTAGAAACAAGTTATTCTGTCTGTCGATACAGTGCGAAAAGATAATAGTCTAAGAGTCACCATGAAAAGAAGATTATTGTGTCTAACAGAAGCGCACCAATCTTATCATCTTTGAGTCATTCCTTCAAACGTTCTTGAAATGCTTATATTATGTTTTTTTCTATTGCAACTTGAAGATATTCTTAAAGCGAAGATTAGCAGTCTTGTTTTTTTTTCTAATATATCTTTTAGAGAGAAAAAAAGTGTCTGTATGACTCTACGCGTGTATCACGATTTTACTTGGAGAACCGAGTGTCTTTAAGTTCCGAGTTTATTTTTGTATTAACAAGTATCGCTGCGTATATACGGTATTTTTTCAGTAGCGAGAGAGGAGGTACATCGAATTTTTGAATTAATTACCCTTCGGTATTTATTCGTTAGGAAGCGAAGAGCCTCTTCCGAAGGCTTTACAAAGGACCACGAAGCTCGTTAATTTCTCCAATCGTGGGAACATGTTTCTTAGAATTCTCGCGCGTTCGAAGAGCGGAGCGCAAGGGTCTCGCGATGAGCGCTGAGTGGAAACGGTACCGTGCGTAGCGGGTGATCCGTTGGAACGAAATCGATAGGTGATACTACTGCTACTATTTTGTACGACACGATGTTTTGTATAATCTGTCTACCGTACGTGTAGAGAGGCGGAGAGAAAAGTCTACCGATCACTATATAATTAAATGGTGAAACATTATACCGAAATGCATATTTAAGATTACCATTTGTAGACTTGCGCGCATAGGTGTTACAGTCCCATTAATGTAAAATCCCTCCCAGCAAAACAATATATCAACAATTAAAGGATTGGTAAGGAGTCGCCCGGGGAATTTATTTACCACCCCTTTGCACTAACGTTGCGACATGGTATAACTCGTCGAAGCTACACTATCGCACACTGATTTCCAGGGTTGGGTAGCGTCTAGTTAAAAAGATCAAAGTTAAGTTAAAAAGTAAAATAATTTCAACTTAACTTAGTTACATTATAAACTGTTAACTTTTAATTTAATTTAGTAATATTTTGTCGGCAACTTTTAACTTTTAATTTACCTCTCTCAAAATTAGCCCATGCCATAAACAAAGGCGTCGCGAGACGCCGCGTGCCTGTCTACATTGGCAATTCCTGTGTTCAAAAATTCACTCCCAGCACTGAAAATTTCAAGTATACGTTACATGCACTATAGATCTTCAGCGCTGGCACTGAATTTCGGAACAAAGCCATTATGTGGTACTTTTACTTATTTATGTAAATATAATATTATTTACTATTATATATAATATTATTTACAGCGTTTTTCATTGGGAAAACTGGTGCAGCACCAACGCTGTGCTAGGTTTCTATAAAAACTGTACTGGTGCAATAATAGTTCAGGTTCAGTGGAACACACATATTACACATATGTATACACCATATACACTGTCACGTTACGATAACCTTATAAAATCGTATGCTTATAAACCAAAATTGTGACTTTTGCAATTAAAGTTTATATATTGCAAAATGGAGACAAATAACGCATTGTTATTTCAAATAAATAATAAAGTTTTTTCTTTTGATATTGGATGTATGGAAAAAAATGATGTTAGATCAGTAAAAGGTAAAAATATGTCTTTTGTGGAAATATTTTACTGAAAATATAATGAAATTTTTGTGAAATGTATATTTGAAATTTTCTCTCAATTAATCCTATTGCATTATAATTTTATTATATATAATAATATACATCCATTTTATTGGTATTATCCATTTTTATAACTTGTTAAAAATTAATTATTTTACAATGTTCGTATTAATTTTTAGTTCTTAAAATTTTCGAGATTTTTAAACGTGAAAATGTTATAACAGAAAAACTAAAAACAATATCGTTGTTATAAAGTTAAATAGAAAAATGTTAATATCATACCTTAACGTAATATCACACCTTAAGCATACACACAACTTCAATTTCAATTTGTACTGGTCTTCCACCGTCTTTAAAGATGGTGGAGAAAAAGTTGCATTCAGTGCAAGTTTTTTGCACTAGTTTTGTCAGTAGAATTAAACACTGAAAATGTATGAACTGATTTTCACAGTGGAACAAGAAACTTGCACTCAGTGTGCGCCAGTGTTGCACTAGTTTTCCCAGTGGAAAACGCTATTTGATTCTCGAACTCGCATGAATTTGTTTGCATGTGAAACGAAGCATATTCCGTGTAGTGTGATTGGTTGTCCAAACGCTGGTCGTGAAATTCAAAGCAATTTACGTGATCGCGAGTCTCTAAGATTTTGTGTAAAAGCAAATTTAACTTTTTAATTTCTTTTCATTATTAACTTAACTTTTGATTCAATTAATTTCATTATGGGCTAACTTGTATCTTAGCTAAGTTAAATTTTCAAAGCTGTTAACTTTAATTTAACTAATATAGTTAAAAAAATAACTTACCCAACCCTGCTGATTTTACATTACCGCACGTACAACTTTTCTCTCATTGGCTCGACCAAATCAACGTGCGTCTCTCGGTCAAATATAAATTACGACTCGATCGGTTCTTTGCGATCCAGAAAAATATCGTGACTCGAAATGCAAGGAATGCATGCTGCCTTACGTTCGTGCGGCCGCCACATGGCAGCGGTTGACGAGCACCTGTTGCTTTAGACAGGAACCAACTGACAGTCAGGGGTTAGTCGACTCACTACGCGTAAAATTGCGACTTTGGTGAACGCTGTAGGACGTTTCTTTTTCTCTAATATGCGTAACTCGTATTTTATGCATATAATTCGGCTAGCTTTTTTATTCGAAACCCAACTTTCTACCGCGATCGCGCTGCTCAAAGTTTTACTTAGTTTATGACGAACTCGGAAATTAAAACAACAAACTTCACAAAACAAAAATGCCCGTTTACGAAAGTTAAGTTTAAAAAAAATTTGTATTATAGATTTCTTTTTAATTACACGCGCGTGGGGAAAGCTTTTCGACTACGACGCTCGCAATTTTAACGAGTGTCCCTTGATTAATCTTTCGTCAGACACATTGTATACTTGGCGCTCAGCGAACAAAGCTAATAACGAAATGCGTTAAAATATAAATGAGGTGACCGAGTTTTAGAAATTTACACAAAGGCGAGACTGCAGAGTCGCACGTAAGAAGCGTCGTCGAGGGCAACGTCTACGGAAAACCGATAAACACATCCGAGGAGGGTTGCTCTCGTGGCGAGACCGAGCTTGCCTCTCTCGCGATCCACGGCCGATCTCGATCCACGGGGGCATATCATAGATCCTCGCTCGTATCCCTTCCCCCGCGTATTTCGCAGCAGCACCTCCACCTCCTACCATGGTTTCGCCATTTCCCTCTCTCTGCGGCGAGCCGATGCACGATGCAGGGGAGAAAGAAACGCCGCCTTCCGACCGGCACGTAGTTGTTCGAAAACCGCTCTTACCTGCGCCGTGTGTGCGCGCTCGGTTCATCGTATTCCGCGCGCGCGCGCGGCACCGAGAGATCCGGGATCGAACCGCGCCTCGCGTTTTCCGGGCCCGCCGGGGGATGCCCCGACGCCGATTTTCGCGGCTCCGCTTCTCGCGGGCATGCGCGCGGCCGATCGATCGATCGATCGCGTAGATCGTCGCGAGTGCTTCGCGAATTCGCCGTGGGATTAGTTTTACGGACGACGTGATAACAGTGCACGTAGAACGGAGGGAATTGTGCGGGAAAGCCTGACTGTCATTCAAAGTCCAAGTCGGGCACGTTCGGCTGCCGCGAGTTGGCGCGCGCGCGCGAAAGTGCCAGCGAACGTTCGGGCCGATACATGTCCCCGACGTGCGCGCGATTCCGCTCGAGATTAGCGAGATATCGCGAAAGGCGCGTGCACGTTCGTTACGCCGCCTCGCTCGTACCCCCTCGCGCTTTGTGCCGGGAATTATCGAATGCCCGTGAGTGACGCGAGTGTGCCATAATCGAATCCCATCTCGGGCCATCCCAGCGCCGGGACGTAATCTCGACTTAATCTGCCCGAGTGATTCGACAGGACGAGGTAGCTCTCATCCGACCGGTCCGGCGGTATCTGGCATCCACCGCGCCGTCCTCGGTAATCTTCCGTCATTGAGACTCTCCGTCTTCATCTATTTTCCTCGTTATTGAGGACTATCCTCCGTTGCTCAAGAGGCTCCGGAGCGAGTCGCGTAGAAAAGACTCTCGAGAATCAACGTCGTAAACGTATGATCGAGCGAGGTCCCGGGAGTATCTTGGAGGCTGAAGCCTCGCTCCGGTCTCCACCTGTGATCCGACAGGAAGAGCTTTCTCGTGCCCGGACATCTCTCCTTTGACATCCTCCGCCGGTGGCGATTCCCGCGACTGCAGAGGGAGGACGCTTTTAAAACGCTTCGGATTTTCAGCTTCCGCCTCGAGATTATCGCCGTCCGCAGCGATCGTTGCGAACGAAAGTCCTTTCACGTTCTCCCCGAAGGTCGTCGTCGTGCAGCGAGGCGGAAGAGATCATTTCCAATTCCTCGCGCGAACTTCCTTCGTTTGTGCGGACGCTCGATCCGAGGCCTTCAGACGCGCCCGTTGTTCGCGCGACGGACCGCGGAGAGACACGTTTCACGGAGGATCACTACGGTTTTCGCAAGTGAGGTGGGCGCGTCGCAAACCTCGCCCGGAGAGTCTCCCGAAGTATCTCGGCGTGAATATAGGGGCCTGGACCGTCCACTCGCCTCCGATCTCCGCGAACGGGTCGACAGAGCGAGGTGCCACGACGCTCCACGCCGATACCAGTCCGGTATCCTCTTCAACGTCGAGCGGACGCGAAATGAAATAAGTCCAGCCGTCACTTTCGATGCTCTTGGAAGCGAAGAAATTCGCGAGGAGACGCGCTCGGCTTTTATTTTCAGGACACTTGGACGTCGTGCGTTATCGCGCATCGACGGTCGCATCTTGGTAATCGTTTCGTCGAAGCGAGGATCTCCTCGCTCATCGAAGGTCATCGCGAAGTGAAGCGGGAGAGAGAGAGCGAGAGAGAGCGAGAGAGGGGCAGAAGGCCTCGCTCCCCCGCGTGTGAACTTTCGTCGATTGTCGGCTCGGGGGATCAGCTTCCGACGTGATTCATCGAGGTCGCCGGTTGAGCGGGTCAGGGACGAGGAAGGTGTATCGGCTCGCACTCGCCCGGCTTCAGGTCGACGCACGTCGGTGCGCGGCAACCTGGATTTCCGCGCCATTTACCGCGGCATCGAGGCTTCGGGCACGCTCGGACGCGTCGCGCTATCTTCGTCGTCGTCGCGGCGATAACGTTTCGCATCGATAACGAGGCTGTCATCGGTCGCCTGAACTCGCCGAGCGTCCCGTTGATCGCGGGACCAAATCGATCGGGACAGTGCGCCGATCCCGAAGAAAGCGAGAGTGCGGAGGGGGTCGCGCATTTTCGTCGGACGCGACAGCCGTTCGCATCGAACGAGTCCGCGAATTGTCCGTGCAAGAGGAAAGATAAACGAGTTATCGCGAGTAAGAGCCACGTATTTCGTCGACTCGTATTCAATCGCGTCGCCGCGCGCCTCCAGCAGTTACGTAAGGACAAAGGATCTCTTCGCGGCTCCTTTCTGCCCGGAAGAAGCGCATTTGTGCGCGGGGGTAATTAAGAGATCATTAATAAAGCGTAATGCAATAACGGCGCAGGCTCGCTCGCGAAGAGAATGAAGCAGCGGCGAACCGCTTCCGAAGACACCTCTATTATCTATCGAACAGCGATAACGTCGCGCACGCCGACTGACAGGTCATTGTCAATTACCTGCACGAGCGCGCTTATTAAGGCGCTCGGGGGTTCGTTAAAACGGTATCCCGCCGATTAGACTCGCCGTGGAACAAGCCGTGGTCTGAGCCCCGATACCTCTTCGCCGAGCGTCTCCGCTTCAGCCTCTCTTTGTGCCGCGCGCACCGAGATATACTCTTTCCGTCACGCTCGTCGCCGGCCGCCGAGTCAAAAGGACGACGCTGAAGGCGGATGAAATATCGAGCCGAGGAAATACCGAGGCGACACGCAAGACCGATGCGATACGCGTCCGTTCTTTCAGCGTTCTTTCGGTGAATGGTGATCGCGTCCTCCCAAAGGAAGATCTCTTCCTTGGGAGAAGGAAACGAAGCGGAAAGAGAGACGCGTTGAACGCGAGCGAAAGGAGGCTCGCTCTCGTCGAGGGAGATTTATCGTCTCGCGATTCGACGTCTCCGACGAGAAAACCGCCGCGCAGCCCAGGTAAGTCAGCAAGCGGATTTCGCACGCTCGCGAACCCGACGTTCCCGCGCGCCGATTTTTCCCTCGACTCGTTCAATATTTTCCACCCTCGCGTTACTTTTAAGATCGAGCGATCAAACCCCAGTCGGAAATGATTCGTCGTCAATATGACGCTTCTGCAAGGGGTAGCTACTAGTTGCTAAAATGTTGACCCACCGATTACATGATTTCAGCTGATTACAAATAATTTCATCTAATTACAAATAACTTTCTGATGCACTTAAAAATATGTGACGTAAATAAAAACACGCTTAAAAATATGTGACGTAAATAAAAACAAGTTGAGAAAATGTTCAAATTTCATGTTATTGTCTAACAAGTGACGAAACTTGAAAATGAAGACAAAACGATTACATAGGGATTTCGTAAGAATTTTATAATTATTTCGGAGACATTGTCTCATAAATATATTAAGTGGCTACTCCCTTGCGGTTTCGACGTCGATCGACGAGTCATTTCTCGCTGGCAACGTCCCCTCGCGATCTTAACGCCGGCGATAAATGTGTTCAATTATTAAAAAGCCAGTAATCTCTTTCGCGTAGCGCGATACTTGCTCTTATCTGCGTTTTCTTCGCTTCTCAGAATCTCTTGGATCGCTTGTTTGTTACAAGCGATCGGCGATGTCGCGTGTTGCAATAACTGCGGAATATGGAGAGAGTCTTCTCTTAACCCTTTGACGTATACATTTTTCCTTTCAGCCCATTTTTCCGACACTTAATTCTTAGCGGTTTTTTGCGTCACTGGTGGCGATTCTGGTGGCAGAATTACAAAATGCGAACGTATCGATGCCAGAACTTGGTCCAAGTTCTAGTGGACGCAGGCCTTAGCGCCCGTTTTTTTTTTCAACGTCGTTTACCTTTGATCTTGGTTTAATTCATCCTTCGTCTCTTTGCAACTGTCCCCTCGGAAAGAGACAAAAGATGATTCAAACTAACAATCAAAGTTAAACGACGCTGGTGAAAACGAGCGTAAGGGGGCACCCGTAGATTAAGCGCGGTGGCTCGTTTAACCGCGCGCGATACGTCCAGGCGGTGAAAACGAGCGGCGCGGCGCATTGTGTGCCATTTGCAGTTGCAAGGTCTAGCTTGCGGAATCGCTCGTGCAGCCAGGCGGGTAAACGCGCTCGCTCGTTACGGCCGCGAGGCGAGTACGGCGAGTATACGGCGAGTACTGCAGACGTAATGGCCCGTTCGTAAAACGGCCCAACTTTCGTATTCGCTCGTTATTTCCGCATCAGTCGGCCGGATAATCTCCGTGGATGGCGTCCGCCATAAATATCCTACGCGCCCGGCTAATCGTAAATCGCCAGACACGCTATTTTCGCGCGACGAAAATCATGTCCGTCATCGCGCGGCCACTTTCTCCCCGGTAACCAACCGAGCGATGAGCCGGCTTTCGTACGCGCGCACGCGCACGCACTTTTCAGGCTCTACGCCCAGAAAAAAGATTTAGTTTGGTTAAACAAATGAGATACGTTGGAATCATACTTCTTTGAATCCACTAAATATTCACGTCTGCTAAAACATTCGCTAGATTTGAAGAAGTGGATAGGAATTCTCTTAGAAATTCCAGTCTCGATCAAACTTTGGTTAAGGTGGAGAAATCATTTCTTCGAAATGAAACGAAAGTCTAATGAGGTCCAAATTCAAACGAACTTTTTTCTGGGTGTATCGATCTCCGTGTTCCCCCATTGGTTCCGCTTTTTTCTTCGTATTCTCTGAGAACTCTGCGGATTCCCATGTGAAACGCTCCTGCCTATTTCGATATTGCGTAAATCGTCAACTATTAGCGTGGGCGAAATGTATTCCCGGTACATTGGAAAGCATAGAAAGTGCGATACTATCGGATCTGTCGGGCTGAATGTTCCCTCGACCTAAACGCGCCGTGTAACGATCGCCTAGGCGCATCGCGACCGCGGGGTCCTCGCGAATAGAGACCCTGTAATCAGAGACTGGCCACAAGAGTTCGTCAAATTCTACGATCGTAGAAGCGAGTGAGATAGCCTATGTTTCTCTCTCACTCGCGGGAATTTGACCAACTCTTAAGGCCAGTCTCTGATTGCAGGGTCTCTACTCGCGCAAGGTTTCAGGCGACGTTGGCGTCGCGACGCGACCGCTAATCGCGATGATTATGCCAATCCGATAATCATGCTGGAGAAAGTACCAGCGAGTACAATGAACGGGGCAATTATCGTTGCGCTGTAACAGCAGTAATGCGGTGTCAGCGGCAACGCCACGTGTATGATTACATAAAAAGTAATTAATGCCCGTTACGCGGATGCCTGAGCCCGGCTGAGCGAGTTATCAGCGCCGGCCGATCTTGTTCATCTCTTTATTAATCGTTAACGCCGTGTTTACTCGCACAATACTGTTTCCAGACCGAGATTCACGCCGTGGGCGTATCTCTACCTGCAGCGATTTCATCATTAACGGCACTTTTCGTCGCCTCGTTTACCGAAACGTTACTCCTCGCGGGCAGGCGATGCGTAACGTTAACAGCATCGCGAGAAACGCGATGTCTGGAGCGCGATGTGTGAACCAGCTACTGCGCTCTAGCTCCGTTATCGTCGTGCGTTCCAAGTTCGTTATACCTGTCGAGATTCAGCGGCTTAATCTGAAATTAGAACCGAGTAACTTTGGCGTTACTAATAAATTGCAAATTCGTCAAAGTACAGATTACAATTTCGCCAATACTCGATACGTAAGCGCGTACTGTTTGGAAGAAAGGACTTTCCGCAATAAGGTCGCGTTCTCGGCTGTTGAACTCGCTCGCACGTTCTACGAACGAATCATTTATTACATCAGGAAACTGCGCTATCGATGTTGAAATCTTGAGAGATTAATAAGACCTTTTTCTGCTCCTTTTTATCTCTGTCTCTTTACTCGTAATTTATAACGCGAGGTATCCTTGAACATTTTTTTCCAATTGACGAAATGAAGTTTCAGCTTCAGTAATCTTTCAGCGAATTCAATTGCTTGCATTAGTGCGCACTGAGGCTTGTTTACAGTCAGTTCTTGTCAATATTTAAGGATCGTCTTAAATACCTCTTGAAACACTTTTTAGCCTTTTTAATAAACAATTTGTGTAGCTTCTTGTCGCCAGTGGTAATCAACCAGGGGGAATTTAAAAAAAAATCGACCAAACTGGCAAAATTGATGTTTATTTTAGTCACGATTACAACTGAGAAAAAGATCCGATTAAATTGTTTGTCCGATGAAGAATATAATTGTTTTTTAAATCAAATTTGGTAACTGCATTTTATCGGACAAATTCCATCGGATATATCCTTAGTGTAATCGGAAAATTAACCGTCGGAAATGCTATTTAATTGATTTATCCCAACATTTTTCACAGTGTATGAGCGCACTGGAGTATTCAAACGCTGAATATTCCGTTCTCGTTAACCAGCGACATCTTAGTATATCATTTTAATATATGAATATTATTTACTGGGTCGGAACGAGATCGAGTTTCTCTCGTGTCTGACCAGTGACAGGACGCAATCACGTGTGAGGCAAACCGCGACGCGGCGACGGCGACAGTGACGATATTAATTCGCGCCGCAAGTTACTTAATTTTTTTTTATCGCGCTTTTATGGAGACCGAGCGGTCCATTCGCGTCTCGCCGATATTCTCTCTGGATTGTCGCGATGAGAAATGGGGATTAGGCGCGACCACCCGTTAGACAAACGGGACGACCGTGGCACGAAGCAAGAAATTGCTCGCGGCACCTGTCGATCGTCCGCTCGTCTTCCCTCCGAGCGCACTTCTCTCTCGCTTGATAGTTTACTCTTCCTCTCGTCTTTGCGCCTCGTTCCCTCGTCGTACTCGCTTTTATCCTCCCGCGTGTTGTCTGTTACTCTAACGGTGCGCTTTTGTCAGCGCTCTTTACCTTCTCCTCCTGCCTTCTCGTTCCTCTTTTTATTCATCGTCTTCCCCGCACTTGGTGATACACACTTTTTGTCTCGCGATCCTTTCCTCTCGTCTGTTCAGCTCGGGCTCTTATCTTCCTGATTTCGTACATTTATTTTTCCGACACGTACGTTTGTACCGCTGAATCCTTTTCAATCTTACGCTCGTTTACTGATTTTATATACCGCTGTTAGTTCCTTCCGCTCGTGCTCCCTGCACGCTCGTTACGTCTGTTTTTTATCCTCCCGTAATGTTCCTCGCTCTAACGCGGTTTAATTTCTTCCACGTTTTTTTCTCTCTTACGTTGCACTTTCTAATCTTTTTCCGCCTGCAACCTGCTCGCCACTGTGATTTCTGCAACTACGTGTTAGCGCCATTTCGCAATATCGTCATCTTTCCGTTCATTCTAATGTGGGTTACGGTTGGTCAATATCGAGCGATAGCGAGGGCATTGGCGATTAGGATTACGACCCACCAGCCCATTCTTTACCGTACCATTTCCATAATCATAAACGTCAGTTTTGTAATACACGTTTGCGCATCACTTACGCATCTGTTTGGCGATACGACGACACGAAACACGCATCCCTAACACGGCATTATCATTTTCATTGACGTAACTAAGTCTACGTTAGATCGCGTATAATAGCTCGTTAAACTCTAAAGATTTGTTATTGTCGGCGATTGTATTGGATGACGGGGTACCAAGAACCACGCTTTTACGACCCAATAAAAGTTGAGTCAAGTCAGCGAAAACAAAAACGTCAGCGAAACGAAATACAAATGCCAAGATAGACAACAAATGAGAAATTATCTTCTGAATAAGGTTACAAGGTTCACACACACACACACATACAGGTCGGGATCCGACGCTATCTAAATGTCTGTTTGTTTGGATCACGAATAAATTTGATACTTCAAGTTCCAACTATCCGCAGATTCGAATTTAATGTTTCGAGGTACTCGAATGGGACGAAAGCGTAGAAGGCGAATACAAGTATACAGCAAGTTCTTAATATTATTTTCAAGAATGTCGTTTTGGGGCATAG